AAGTTTAACTTCCTAAGGAGTTTCACGACTTGCACCTCAGAACCCCAAATGATGTGATATGACTGCGACTAGACAGTCCCAGGAGTGGGTCCCAGCTTTATAGTTTCTCAGCAATAATGATACGAGATGAGCCCGTGAAACATGGCTGCTGATTTATCCGGTTGCAGACTTAGAGTTCTATTTAAACATTCATAACCTAGCTCACAACCAGAGCAGTGGACATTGAAGATAAACTCATTACAGCAGTATAAAGGTTTCTGATCTAAGGAACATCTGTTCTTATAAGCCGTTTAATTACAACAAAGGGTCAGAACACTCTGTGTTCTCTGGCTGGAGCTTTTAATGCCATAGTGGAAATATTGCATCTGGATGGAAACCTGTTTTCATTCTGGGTCCTGCTATTTGCTTTATATGAAATCTACTAACCTGATAGATAAAGCCACTCATCCGAGGACTTGCAGATAACATTATCAAGACACTTGAGAACAACAGGAGGTACCGCTCCTCTTTTTCCTAAAGTGAAATGAAACATGCTAAGCGGAGAACAGAAATTGGACATTTTATTTGTTAAGAATTTCAGGAGTCACTGTTGTGTAACCCAGAGCTTGTGAGGCAACGAAACATGAACAGTGACCTTTTAAGAAAGATACCCAACCTCAAAGCACCAAACTAGCTGAATTTTGCTTTGAAAGGAGTACAAACCCATGGTTTATCTCTCTTCTTCCTCTACAAAACAGTTAGGTGCAAATAACCATGCTTGGTTCCCAAGTACGCACGCCTGAGACGTCACAGGGTTCATGCCAAGGCACAAGGCTCTGGGGTCACAAAATGAAAATGATTTTACTTTAAAAAGGAGCAAAACAGAAGGGGCTTTCAGGCCATAGGAAGTTTCCTATGCTCTAGCATGTGTATTAAATTCTCATTCATAAAATTACTTTTACTCGGTAAGAATAAGATAACTATCATACCCATGTAATGGGAAGAAGTAAATACTTTTTGAAAATGGCATGAAAGGAAATTTCACACAGGAGGGCTTCTCTGAACCCCTTAAACAGATAGGCGATTAGTAGGTGCAAAAAAATTCTGTTCCGCTTACATGCCCAGCCATGTTAGGTGCAATGATCCTTATGCCTCTCTCCATCTCCTTCCTTGCACTTGAGAAGGGCAATCCTTCGAGGCTCACTCTTCTACCAAGTTCTCTGCAGCCTCTCACATCTTTCTCTTGCTTGGTTTCCTTCTGCAGACACTTCATCTCTTCCTTCTCCTTCCAGCAGCCTCTCCTGCTCAGCTAGTTTCTTCTCTTTTGCCCTTACCATCCGCCCATCCCCTGTCCCTCACTGGCCCCCACGGCTCCTTCTTCGTAACACAGGCCCGCCTCGCTGTGTTGCGCTTCGCAGATGCTGCCTTTTTTACGACTGAAGGTCTGTGCCAACCCTGCGTGGAGCAAGTCTACAGGCACCATTTTTTCCAACAGGCACCATTTTTCCAGCAGCATTTGCTCACTTCGCATCTCTGTCACGTTTTGGTAATTCTTGCCATATTTCAAGCTTTTTCACTATTACTGTATTTGTTCTGGTGATCAGTGATTATGACTCACTGAAGGCTCCGATGATGGTTAGCATTTTTTAGCAATGAAGTATTTTTGATGGAGGTATGTACTGTGTTGTGACATAACGCTATTGCCCGCTTAATAAACTACAGTACAGCGTACAGAAAACTCTCACATGCACCGCGAGACCGAGAACTTGATTTGACTCACTTCAGTGTGCTGTTGGCTTTGTGGCGGGGCTCTGGAACCGGACCTCCAGTGTCTCCCAGGTATGCCAGGACCCCGTGCCTTGACGTTCTCTTGCCAAATTACTTGCTCCCTTCATTTTTCTCCCCATTGATTCCTTCCTAACTGCGGCCCCACTGCCCTCTGGAAGTCATCAATAACTGCCTTCTAGCGAAATCCAATGGCTTCTTCTTGCTCTCCATACTCCTTGACCTCTGACCCTTCGGCAGCACTCAGCTGACCACTTTCCGTCACCCCTCCCTCCTGGGGTTTCCATAACAACACGCTCCCCCAATTCTCTGGGTCGGGCTCTTCCAGGTACTAGCTCCTCCTCCCTCCACCCGAGAGGTTTATCCCAAAGGTGTGAAAGACTAATAGTTAGACTCGCGGCCACATTAACCTTCCCCAGGGTATCTGCATCTTAAATGAGATTGCTTGTTAACCCCAAGTCATGAATCTCTGACAGAGACCTGTCAGGGACTATAGGGAGATGTTTTGGGATGGGGAAGGCAATTCTAACACCCAATAAATCATACCAGGTGACATAAGCAACCTTCCTCCCCTGCTCTGCCCCCTTCCTAAAAGACACAATCCATCTTCAGCCTTCCGTGCCTCTCTCTGGATATTTTCTTCCTAGGAAGGCACATCTGTCAGGAACAGCTAAATCTCTGCCTCCAGCTCTGCCCTCCCACCCACGTTTCTCTACCTTAGTAACAGCCGCCTACAAGACCTCTCCACCTGGAGACCTACGGCTGGTTACCTGCAAGTGAACAGGTCTAATATGACGCCATCATCTCCAGCCCACAGGTCACCGCTTCCTCTCCACTTGCCCTCCTAACCGGGCTCAGATTTGCCCCCTGCAGTTGTATTTTCTCCTCCACCACCTTCGTCGGCGCGGGGGGGGGGGGGTGCTTTTCACTTTGCAACCCAGCTGGTCCTTCTGTGGCCAGCCCCCTCCCCTCCAGTTTCCCTGAGGCCCGTGCCTATCCGATTGAAGCATCATCAACTCCCCCTTCGCGGTGTGGATTTGAACAGCTCTTGCCCGATGCCTGGGGTTCTCAAAACCCGACCTCCGTCTCTTTCCCTCTCCCAGCACGCTTCCTCTGCTCCTGACCGACGGGCTTCCCCACTGTCCCGTGGCAAAAGGCCATGCTCCTGTTCTCTCCTGAGATAAGAATGGCCTCTACCTTACAAAATCCTCGCCTTTCTTCTTTGTGGCCCTCCTCCTCCAGGCCCAGCTCCATAAGGTCTTCTTGCTCTCCCCCTTCTCCGAACCTCTGCGGAATCCACTGTGGAGATCTGCACAACCTACCCTGACTACTTGGGTCTGTTCGCTAGTTGCAGCTTGTGTTTCGACCTGTTTGCAAGGCATTCCTTGAAGGCAGGGATCACCGCGGGTTCTCTCCGCCTATCTCCTGCAGCACCTAGTAGAGTGCCGGGCAAGGAAGAGCTGCTCAGTTTCTTTGAACGTTCAAGCACCTGACCTTGACGGAGAGACAAGTCAAAGAAGAAAAACAGGAAAGAGGAAAGATGGAAGCAATGGCACTGAGGTCTGAAACGTCTTACCTCGCACGTTCCATGCTGCACCATTACTTGTGACATAAACAGCACATTTCCCAAGGTTTTAATACTCTCTCCTTCCCAGGCCTGAATAGGCTCAGAAAGTATCTGCAACTCCAGCTGTTTTCTCTTTCTTAGGTCTTGGCACTGCCCCTACAGAACCAAAGCAGAACATAATGGGCTAGGAATTCTTGCAAAACAGACCCAAATCAAGACCAAAGTGAGATGAAGTTTTGGACTTTCAGATTTCCAGAGTCCCTATTCCTCAGCATGATGTGTCCCCAACAGACAGAAAGATCCACCATCCTAACTCTCTAGCCAAAGGTTTTGTGAGCAAGAGCTACTTTTGCCAGAACATCAAGATAAAGTGGTAGCAGGGGCCATGCATTTGTTTCATTATAAGATTGATTTGATTCACTGTGGCACAGCCCTATACTTTAGGGACTAGTAGTAGATTGGTATGGGGAAAAAATACTAAATTAATTTTTGTTCCTAAAAGAACTGTGAAAAAGAGATACAACTGAATTTTATGCATACAAACTGAAAATACAAGCCAGGAAACAGTATGTGGGATATGAATACGATATATATAAATATCACTGCTTCAGAAAGCATGAAGTTATTTCTTAGAGTAATTTAACAGTATTCATTCCAAGTTGAATATGAAAATGAGCATATGGTTAGTTATGTTACTGTTTCCAAATAAATGTCATAGTTTTTTGGGGTGTGTTTTCTATAAAATCTCTGCTGCCCCTTTTAGCTATATGGCAACTGGAAGACATCAGTTCACTCTACACACATTTTTGAAGCATCTATACTGGGAATAAATATACTATGACCATCAAAGCAAGCTTCGCAACATGGAAAATGGTCAGAAAGACCTATTATTTTTTTAAAAAGGAATGTTACATTCAATTTACAGAGGACAAAATAAAGGGGACACAAAGAGTCATAAATGCCATGGCTGTCAGTTGGGCCGTTCAATTAGGCTGAGCCATGTAACTGTTTTTGACCTATGACAATAGCAATTTTAACCTAATACCTCACTCTGGTTTTCAACTTGCTGTTTACCTGTGGACACATCAGGTACTGATCTTCCGACAGCAATAAAAATGAGGTGATGGTGAATGTCCCATCACAAGCTTATAGCAAGAATCAATAACTAACCATGGATCGATCCCAACTACTTGGAATGCTACAGAAATGTCTAAAATGAAGCTGACTTGGGGTGCCTGGGTGGCACAGCTGGTTAAGTACCCGACTCTGGGTTTTGGCTCAGGTCATGATCTCGGGGTCGTGAGATTGAGCCCCACATCCAGCTCCGTGCTCAGTGCAGAGTCTGCTTGAGATTCTCTCTCCTTCTCCCTCTGCCCCTCCCGCTTGTGCTCTCTCTCAGACAAATAAATAAATCTTTTAAAAAAGGAAGCTAAACTTAATCAATCACCCAAAGTAACACTATCTTTTCTCCTAAAATGCCACCAAGTGGTTTTACATCAGTGGGTTCAAGAAGACATTAACCATCACGCTCAAGATACAAGATTACAGGTAGCTTTGATAGCAATCTATATAAAGCAATTGCACTTTGGTAGGTTTTCTCCTTTTAGATTTGACGAAGGATTTCTTTTTCATATGCAAAGAATAAACTCACACCTTTTGGCATAAACAGATGAATCCAGTATCGATGCCAATCAGTGACTGACAAGCTACGCAGACATAAGGTGAACGACATGGGGGTAAAGACAAAGAGACAAAAGGAAACCCCCCACCTACACAGCAATGCTTAATGTGGCAGAGACTTCAAATGTGAGTGCTTTATGCCCGCAGCCTGGCAACCTTTCGTAGGTAAGCATGGTTTTTTTGGAAGACAAAATTAAATGAAGCAATCACTGCGATACTCTTGCTAAAGCTTATTGTTTCCATTCTAAAGACCTTTGCATGAGGAAAGAAACGTTACACACAAGTCACTCTCTTAGGAACAAAGCATACAAAACGGAGAATTATAATTTGAGAGCATCACCTACCATGAGAGTTTTGAATGCTATGATTGCTTTCAGAATATCCTGATGATCTGGATGCGTATCCTATTAAAGGAATACATTGTAAAACAATATTAAAGGAGAACAGATCAGCCGTTGTCAGGGGTCGGGGTGGGAGGAGGCTGTGGCCGCAAGAGACGGGAAATCTGAGAGGGTGATGGAACCGTCCTGCATGCCCATCACTGCGGTGGTCACAGGAATCTACACACGTGATAAAAGCCACAGCACTGCACGCCAAAAGTAGGAAGTCCATTTTACTGTAGGCAATAATTTAAAGATCACAAAATAAGACAGCACTTGAGCATTTGGCATCTCAGCGCCTCCAGTGACCAGGTGACCAAGAAACGAAGACAGCTGGTGGCGCTTCATGGATTTGGCAACAACATCCTAGATGTGGTTCCTGAGACTTTAGATAATAACTAACTGGCAGTTGGGGGCCATCATCAGGCCATGTTGTTAATAAATGACAAGAGGTAGGGAACTGTGGGAACCGAGTGGTGGGTAGAGAAAAATCAATCCCGTTTCACTTTCCTTCACAATCCTTCATTTTCCCTCTGCAGGCTCAACATGGCAGGTGGGAACAAAATTCCAGGTTTCATACCATTGTGCTCCTTTGTAAGCCATGGTAGTACCTATGGTCTGCAATTCCATGGTACTTATGACCCCAGCAAGCGGACAGGTTCAAGAACGGCTTTGAGGAATCCTTACGTCCATGACTGCTCATGAAGGGAAAGGGGAGATTCTTGCGGAGGCTGTAGACCTGATGTGGGGGTAAGATGTCTACCTGACCTCTGGGATTCAGCTGGAATAACGGAAGGACAAAGTCTGCTGCTCCACCAGCCTTCGGTAAGAAAACACAGAGCCGAACGGACCCACGTCAGGAGAAAGCATCTCAGCGGACGGCGAACTAGCGCTGAGGGAGGGTGTGGGTTAGCTGATGGTGGGAAATGGAAGGCAGGAGTGTAGATGGGCTCCAATTCAAGGAAGCCCAAGATAGAGGGTCCAGGCAGTGGGGGCGTGGGGGCGCATCTGGGGCTTCTCCGCCTCTAACTGAGTGTGTATTAGTACTCCAGCATTGAGCCCTAACAGAAACTGAGGCCACTGGTTTCTGGGTTTTTGCGATAAGCAAGGAGGGGCAAACCTCAAACGGTTCGGCAAACTGATTTAGCTTTTGGAAAGGCATCCAGAGGTCAACACCTTCCCAAGCCCTAACTGAAATTTCATTCCGGCAGGCTTTACTCACTAGCTCCCCACTGCCTCCAGCTTTCCGGCAGGTCAAATAACCTGAGAATGTGGTTTTGCTCAGAGGACGTGCTTTCAATCCTTACAAATGCTGACAAGACCGGCAGCGTGCAACCTTTTTCTTTAAAGATAATCAAACCCTTTAAAACCTCAAAACCTTTCCCCAGACACAGGAAGAGCAACTAGGGTAAACGCAGCCTCCCTCAGAGGGCCCTCCTCTCCCACCCACACCTCAAACACCCACGCTCGATGGCGCAAGGACGACTCTAGAAGCTATCCCTGTTGATTGGTTTTTAATAAAAGGATCGGGCCTCTTGCTGAAACAGTATTCCATGATCAGACCTTGTTGCCAGTCAACTCTAAGTTGATAAACACAAATGTGAGGGAACTTTGATGTAGGTCCATGGACACAAACACAGATCAACTAATACTGGACCCATTTATGAATCTTTAAGGAAATTCCAGAATGTTCCAGCATAATCCAGAGTCAGAAAGCTCAATGATCACAGGGCCCTCAAGATATTTATCCCTGTCTGTAGTGAAAGTGATATCTATATTTTCTATTGTTTTGCTTTGTTTATCTCCCCAAATCAGGTTGGTTCATATACCAGAACAACAGAAGATCTTGGTCAATTTTGACTGAACCACCATCTACAGAGGAGGAAAACCTAAGTCAGCCTGAGAAAAGCAGCAGCACCGAGGCTGGGAGGGAAAATGATCATGAACATTTAGTAGTAAAGGGAAAAAAAAATTAATGACTCTGTGAATTGATAGAGGTGTGAATTAACTTGCTCATGGTAATCACTTCACAATCTCTACATATATTCAGCCATCCCATTGTACACCTAAAAAAATCACATTGTACAACCTAAACATATACAGTTTTTGTTTGTCAATCACACCCCAATACAAGTGGAAAAAATAAATAAGTAAAAATAAAAAAATCTTCGGTGGGGGGAAGAATGCCCCCTTTTTATTTCGCTGCATTAAGAGGGAAACTAGAAGCCCAGCAAGAGAGAAGACTGGATCAAGTAAAATGCGAAACCAAGGCTTTTTCTGAATTCCTTAGTGAGGTTAGTCTGGAGGGAGACTGGCTGCTTCTTCCAGAGCAGAGGCCCATACCTTGCCTTCCCTTACCTCCATATGCCGTTCCAACTCTTGCAAGAGAGTAACATACTTTTCCAGTCGCATGAATGGTTTGCTGAGGCTGGTTGTTAAAATGAGGATACCTGGGCTGGATGCACCTTGACTTTCCATGAACTGTTCCAGATCATCACTAGCAAAAAAACGACCGCAGTTTTGTTACTGCTTCGTGTTCCAAGTAAAGAATTATCAACCAAATTATTGATTTATTATTAGAAGAATATTATTTTCCTGTACTTTGCACAATATAAAACCGAACAGAAATGAGTTTCATTAATCCAAATGCCGTCCAATTCACGCCAACTCCATTCAGTAAACCTTTACTGAGTTCCTGCTATGCAATCAGCCTTGTGTCCAGCACTGGGGCTACTGTGGTGAGCCAGATGCTCAGGATCCCCAGCTTCCTCTGCTCGTACAACAATCCTTTATTGACATCTACTAAGTAACAGGCTCTGGTCTCTGCTGGGGGATACAGCAGTGAACAAAACAAAAATCCCTGCCCTTACGAAGACTGCCCTGACGGACATGGGACATACAGTCTACCAGATGGCCCCAACGTATGGTTTTAGTCACTTCAAACGTTCTAGTTATTGGCTGGTCAATTGCCGAGGGTAGCAACTCACCGCATACTCCCTATCACCGGGCACCCACTTGTAATGTTCAGAATCAAGTTCAAAACTCAGATAGCTGCATGTGTGTCTGACTAACCACAGAGTCACTTAGCCTAGGATCTGAAACCAGTGCAGCAGGGCTACACAGACAGTTCTATAAGGCGGCAGCTTGGTTAAAAGAAAAAGACTATTCATATGTCATGAATTCTACCCTATAAGCTTGTGCTTCTTCTTTCTTCCTTTTTGCACCGTCTGGCTTGTCTCCTTTCCAGCAACGTGATACCGAGTCCTGGGGCTGCAAGCTCATTTTAATATTCATTTGTGCAAGGACCCCCACTGTCTACGGGGATGGCATGTTCTGAAACTTCTGCTTCTACCTTGGCCCCTTTTGCCTCCGTGCTTGCCCGTGCATATCCAATCAGTCTCAAGTTTATTCCTTTCCATTTGCACTGCCACTGCCTCAGTTCAGACCTTTATCTCTTCCCATCTGGTTCACTCCAAGAGTCCAACTGGTCTCCTGGCTCCCGGGCTTTTTGGCTTCCCAGCCATCCTGCAGACCACGGCTCTAATCCTGTTGCTTTCTACTCAGGAACCCCTGATTGCCTGCAAACCCAAGCCTGCACTTTCTAGCCTCCCACGGGTCCGACCCATCTCTCTCCTCACATGACTTACTTATTCTCCCTAGAAGACAGCTCAGGCAGGACAGTGCCTAACCATGGCATGTTGCAATCAGTGGTGAAACATGTTCAAAGAAACTTGCTATCAGCAGTAAAACACTGAGGGGGGGGGCAGGGATGGGTTGGATTGCAGGTTACCCCTATTCATAGACACATTCCCTTCTTGGGCTTTTGTGAGTGGGAGAGGAAGGGATGGGGTTTCGACTAATGCCCTGGCAACCTGGAGCCATGTAGGGTCACACGTATGTCAAAGGGAAAATGGGCTGGGAATCACTGCTTTCATGGAAGCTGGATCGTGTCTGAGTGGTCATGCCTGACAAGCCACACGGATTGTATCCGTTTTTGCCCCAGAAGCCCCTGGGAGGAAGGAGGTGCCCTGGACCTGGAGTCATAAAACAGGGCTGGTGACCCTGGATCAGTTACCTGGCCTCAGCTGACTCAAACCTACTTCCTACTAAAATTCTGAAGATTCACCATTGGGGTTTGGAAGGCGACTCTTTCATGTTAAGGTCTTCGGGAGTGCGTTTAATCCTATTTAATATGCGCAACGGCCCTTCAACCCAGGTGTTATCCTCATTTTACAGATGAGAAACCTGAGTCTCAGGAAGAGTGAGTAATCGGAAGTAAATGGCTAAGTTGGGGTTCGTGCCCAGGTCTGAAGTCAAACCCTCAAGTCTTTCCATGACACCACACGCCTCTGTATAGAAAAGGATTTTGTAAACTTTAAAGTAGTTTGTAAATGTATTTGTATTACTATTATTACTGTGCCAAGGCAAATACCTTGCTAAAATCACATCTTTAGAAACTACCATTAAGCTGTGATTTCCAGCTTAATGGAAACTCAATTGATGTTAAATTTCCAACCAAGAGCATAAAGTGCACAAAGAGGTTTAAAAATTCATTGCATATAAAATATAATTAGGAAAATAACTTGAATTTGGAGAGTGCATTTGAGTAGAAATGTAATTTAGAGAAAATCACTTTCCTAATTTCTTTTCAATTTGGTAAACAAGTCTTGTTTTTTCTTTCCATGACTAAATAAGTGCCCCCGTCCTCAATGTTCTACTCTAATTGATACAAGGCTTGCGACAATTAAAAGCAAATACTAACGCGTACTTTGTTATTACTTTCCATGCAGCATTCTAACTTTTAGGCTTGCTAAATATTATAAAAGAGTTGTTTTTTTTTTTTATTTTTCAACTTAACACGAGTTCATTGGCTGTTGGGGAGGAAATGAACATTTTACTGTGCAACAAAAGAATAAAACTACCTTAAGCTGCTGCCCATTACAATAACTAGATCCTGCAAGACACATTTTACTGAGCCAAATAAACTTAATCCACAAATTAATGTCATTATACAAAAATGTAAGACTCAAATTTATATTGTCGTACCAAAGAACAAGCTGTCTTTAAAGTGCGGTTTTTAATTTTATACAGCCTGTTGGAAATGTCAATGGGTTAAGGCTTGTTTTTCAAGCTTCACATGTTCTGTACACGTGATGTGATACAAGAGAAGCAGTTCTCAATGTATAAATGCTGTCTTAGACTCAACATACGTTTATCTCACAGAATGCAGGGTGCATGGGGCTCTGGGATGCTCTGGCTTGGGCTGGAAGGCTCCAGAAAACTATCTTACCTTCTAATACCTCTACAGAGCTTAACCATATCATATGAGAGTGTTTCTGTGGAATCTTTGCATAGATTTCTACTTTGAATGATGAGAAGTCTACCTAGAACATCTGGAAAAGGATCAGATATTCCCCCCCCCCCCCCCCCGCCCACACACACACCCTCCTGCCCACACCCCTATCATGGAAATCACTGGAAAGGGGCAAGTGAGGCCTGAGGAGCTGAAGGGCCCAGGCCTCTGGCCAGTGGAAAATCCCAGGGATGCCATGCAACTGAGTTGGGTGGGTCCCTATTACCCCTTTTTCATTAATCTAGTCCCAGAGAGCAGGCTGTCTGCTTCTTTTTTTGTCCCCACCACTTTTTATTTGTGATCAGTCTCACTCCCTTCCCCAGTTCCTCAAAGACACAGACAGGACCGAATCCAGTCTCAGAATGGTCCCTACGCTCCTTGTCCCCGAAGCAAGTACAGAACACAACTCTGGGTTTTTCTCAAAGTCTTCATTGCTGACAACAGGGTAAACAGAGTGACAACTAACAAGAGGAAAAGGGCACAGTGGCGACACAGTGGTGTCTGTCACTGCAACGGAGACGGAAGTACAGTTCAGACCTGTTACTTAGCACTCACTCTCCCCTCTCCTTGCTCTCTCTTTCAATCCGGGTCCCTTTCCCTCATGAAAAGGATGGGAGCCGCACCAAAGCACGGGAGAGAGGTGGGTATTTTTGTAAGAGAGAGCTTATTCCCAGGAAGAAACAAGAGCTACAGTAAGAAGCCTGAAGGGGAGAGAGAGGGGAAACCCCAAAAGACCTCAACCAGGGGATAACAAAAGACTGGGGCAGCCACTCAAATATATGTAAATATGGGGACACATCAAAGTTGGGGTCTGCTTCTATACCCATATTCAGCTAATACATTACTGCCTTTTTAACAAGGTGCCAACAGGCCGTGAATTTTTAAAGCTGTAGAGCGTTGCCAAATGTCAGGCGCGTTGCTGGTATGATACTGCCATCTGCAGGCTGAAGGGAAGAACTTCAACCGACTGGCCTGCTCAGGCTGGAGGGATTTTCCAGGGTCTAATCATTCACAGATTCAGCAGGGAAAGAACAGAAATCCACCGATGTCCTTGTTTCAGCTGACACCTTCATCTAAAACGGGATTTTAGGGGCGCCTGGGTGGCTCAGTTGGTTAAGCAGCCGACTCGGTTTCAGCTTAGGTCATGATCTCAGGGTCATGAGATGGAGCCCCAGATGGGGCTACACGCTCAGCAGTGAGTCGCCTTAAGTTTCTCTCTCCCTCTCCCTCTGCCCCTACCCCTACCCCCACCCACTCTCTCTCTCTAAAGTAAATAAATAAACATATTTTTTAAAAAAAGACAATAAAACAGGATTTTAGACCGAAATTTCTGTAAATTTCATTCAACTCTACCTTGCCTCTACTAGTCAGCATAAATCACCACAAAATGCATGTAACAGAGCTGAGATTATATTAGAAGCACATCTGGGGAAACCCCCAAGTATTTCAATTTAATTTTTACTCCTTACATGCAAATTAAAGGTAAGATTAAAAATTCAGTTCTATGGGACTCCAATGAGTCTTCCGTCATTTCAAGGGATATTTTAAGATTCTCAAAAAACACCACAAACTAAAATGAAGCAAATAGGATATGATAATCCCCCCAAAGTTGAGAACCTCTAAATTAACTTTAAATCATAATGTTTGAAGGAATCTGTACTGTTATTATAAAATTAAATTCCTAATGTGGGTAAATGCAGTCAGTAACATTTCAGCACACAGAGTTACAATAGAAACTTCACTGAACACTACCATTTCTTTCTGGAATTGCTATTCTCAGATTAAAAGGAAAAGAGGGGCATCTCTTTTTATTGGTATTCAGAAATTTGCCCTTATATACGCAAGATGTTTATGTATCCACCACAGGAAAAATGCTTCTGGATCTTTTTTTTTTCTTCATTGAAGACAGGTAGTAAAATATTAAAACATTCCCGGAAATGATAAAACCAAATTCAGAACTGTGGTTCCCTGTGGCCTGGGAGGGAGGGGCAGGAAGGAG